GGGATTGATGTGGAGATAGATGGACAGACTCCACCACCCAGAGCCACCTGGTGAGTGCCAGGACCAATGTGGAGACAGACAGACTCCACCACGCACGGCTGATGGTGACTGCCGGGATTGATGTGGAGATAGATGGACAGATTCCATCACGCAGGGCTGCCCGGTAACTTCCAGAACCGACATGGAGACAGACAGATAGACTCTACCATACAGGGCTGACAGTTACTGCCAGGACCAGCGTGGAGACAGACAGACACCACTGTGTGGGCCTGATGGGGACGGCAGAACAGATGTGGAGACAGGCAGACTCCACCATGCGGGGTCACCCGTGACTGCCGAGGTGGAATCCTCCCTCCACAGTGGACCCAGATGCAGACGGCACGAGGCTGCCCCAATGCGAGAAGAACTGCATCCAGCCTCCCTTGCAGCGAGGGGTGGAGGCTATGAGACCAAGTCTTGGCTGTGGAGGTGAGCACAAGGCCTGTGAAAGCTCCAATCCCCTCAAAGACGCTGCCTGCCCCGTTCCCTCTGTGCTTTCCCTTCCTCCTGGGGAGCGGGCGAGCAAGGTGGCCACATGAGCACGCCGGGGTGCCTGTGTCTGTCCCAGAGCCAAGCCTGCATCCAGCTGACCTGTCCACTACTTACCAAACACCCACTTAAAATAAATGCAAATTACTCTTGTCAAAAAATTACACCTTCTAAACCAAAATGGCCTAAAATAAAAGTGCGTACAGTCTGAGATGCGTCTGCCAGTCTGTCGTACTGTGGGGGCTTGTGTGTTGTGATGCTGGAAACTATACCGCCGGTATGCAAATACCAGAAGGGTCACTCATGGCGGATAGGTTTCAGGTGAGTTTCCAGACTAAGACAGACAAGGAAGAAGGAGCCGGTGGTCTACTTCTGAAAAGAATTAGCCAGTGAGAAACTTGTGAATAGCGGTGGAACGCCGTCGGATACAGTGCCAGGAAACGGACCCCTCAGGATGGAAAGCACTCAAAACATGACTGGGGAAGAGCTGCCTCCTCAACGTACAGTTGACCTTAATGACATGGATGGAGTCAAGCTTTCAGGACCTTCATTTGCTGAGGCGGCATGACTCGAGAAGAAACAGCTGCAAACATCCATTAATAATCGGAACATGGAATGTATGAAGTATGAATCTATGAAAACTGGAAATCATGAAAAATGAAATGGAATGCATAAACATCAATATCCTAGGCATTAGTGAGCTGAAATGGACCGGTACTGGCCATTTTGAATCAGACAATCAAATGGTCTACTATGCCAAGAACGACAAATTGAAGAAGAATGGTGTTGCGTGCATCGTCAAAAAGAATATTTCAACATCTATCCTTAAAATGCTGTCAGTGATAGGATAATATCCATACGCCTACAAGGAAGACCAGTTAATACAACTATTATTCAAATTTACGCACCAATCACTAAGGCCAAAGATGAAGAAACTGAAGATTTTTTTACCAACTTCTGCAGGGTGAAATTGATCAAACATGCAATCAGGATACATTGATAACTACTGACGATCACAATGCCAAAGTTGGAAACAAACAAGAAGGATCGGCAGTTGGAAAATATGGCCTTGATGACAGAAACGATGCCAGAGACCACATGATAGAATTTCGCAAGACCCACGACTTCTTTATTGCAAATTTCTTTTTCACCAACATAAACAGTGACCATACACGTGGACCTCACCAGACAGAATACACGGGAATCAAATCAACTACATCTGTGGAAACAGACAATGAAAAAGCTGAATCTCATCAGTCAGAACAAGGCCAGGGGCTGACTGTGGAACAGGCCATCAATTGCGCATACACAAGTTTCAGCCGAAACTGAAGAAAATTAAAACAAGTCCAT